GGACAAGGTACAGTATTTTACAAGTGCTCAACGAGATACATGGTTAGAGCGTATGATATATCGTCGAGGTGCGGAGTGTAAGGCCCATGCTTGTATCACCCTTGATATCAGCCATACATCAAGCAAGCAGGGCGACGAGGCGTACGTACTTACATGCAAGTTTGACAATCATCAGAAGGGCCATGGAAGGAGGAACTGCGGCTGGTCAGCATATCGTAGATCAAATCAGAGCGTACAACAGGACCAGTGAGTCCTATGGGTGTTGACCTTAGTACAGGCAGGCTGCAATCTGCGCGCTTCGTATTAGAAAGACGGACGGATGGCCGGGACTATCGAAGTGTTGTATAAGTAGGCCTCCTTCTTATCGTTCAGGGATTTCTGCACGCTGGTGATTGTATTTATAGATGTCGCTCGCCCCATTCTTGGTAGTTCCATGTCAACGTTGAAGTATGTTCAGCATCTCGTAGCGTAGCCTTGCTCACTCCTTACGAGTGTGCTTTCTACCCTTTTCAACGGCAGGCAGATTAGACTGGCTTTTCAAGATCAACTTGTGGCTTTGGGTCGATGGTGACTGTCAATTCAACCATGGATTATGGTTGCAAACGCTTCTTCAACGCGGCTTTCTGTTCTCACCGCGTCGTTGACTCAACGGCCGCACTCACCACATCACCGTTACATTTATGTGCCGTAACTGCTATGTGATGTACATGATGCTGGCGTCAGGTTTGCCTTCGCTACCACACCAAGCAATTCACCACTTGGCAAGGAACTGAGTCACTTGGTACGAATCGCGAATCTGCCAATTTGGACCCTTGTCAATTGCGGTCGCGCTTCCTCCTGGCACTGGGAACCACAATAGAAACTTTACCGGGATCCGCGCATCCATTACTTTTCAAGTGGTAACTTGATAGGCCTGGCTCCATTCTTGTTAATTACTGTACTTGCGTGTCTCTTGTGTTGAGGTTTCAGCAGTCTTCAATGCCGCTGAGGCCTTACTGGATAGTAGATCGTTCTCCCTGAGGCACACTAACCTTCTATGGTAAAGTGGACAGCTGGGAAGCGTGTAAAGCACGCTTCCCCTCAGGGGGCATGTTAGTCTCAGATATCTTCAATAATACTCAATTGCTGGCATATGCTATCGCTCCTCCTAGATCCTATCCCTCATCTCAACATCTTGTTGTGTGCTAGGTAATAGATGAATTCATATACATGATTACGGTACATTTCGTTGCTAGATGGACAAAATATATCTTATCAATATGCGGCTCAAACCAGCACTAACCGATGGAAATGATCGCAGATGCATAACGGTTCAGCAGGACTGCCTTTTGCAATAACCTTTGCTTTCCTGAGCAAGTTTCTGTCCGAATTGAGAACGGAGAAGGACAAAAACCTATCTGGAGCTCAGAAGAACTTGGGAAGTCAATGCTCTTGTGAGAAACAAAGAGGAGATCCATTGAAATTTGTCGCGTATACGATTGTTTTACTCTATTCCACGCTTTGCATTGCGAACCTGATACTCCATGATTTCCTAATTCCGATAAATTGACGATCCGACCTAATTGATCTGATCCACCTGCAATTGGCTACTGATCCTTAGATCACAGCAAGCTGCCGCCCCTCAAACAATTAGCCCCGGGAGGTCCGTCTCAGCAGGGTAAGTTGGAAGGTGTGGTGAGCAGACTTTGGCTACCCTAAGTTACAAATGCCAAGAGAACGCAGTGGGTCTGAGTGTGCCCGGCCCCGAAACTCTCGTGTTCTTCCGAGCTGCATCCTCCGATATCCGTGCCTTAGCAGGACACCCACAGACAAGGATACTAGCTGACAACGCATTTAGACTTTACCGCGGACGGGCCGTCCGAAACCTAAAGCGTCAGCAAAAGTGGAGAGTTACTTACAGCCTCCTCTCATTGGTTGCTCCTACTCCTCGTAGGGACGCTAGCGAGCGGGACCCCTTCCAGAAGGACGGCCGGGCGCTGATCATCAAAGTCTTGCGACCGCTGAAGACGGTCTAGAAGGATCTCCTTGCCGTGTGACTAGGCCACGCTAGGCCGGCAGCGGGGCCGAACAACAAACTGGCTTTTAGTGCCTAGTGAAAAGAATAAGTTAGATAACTATGCGTTCCATAGGCTAGAAGCGGTACTATCTAGGCGGGTAGTAGTTGTAGGAAGCGTCGATTTTAAACAGGTCGACAGCGATACGGTGCTAGAGAGAGGTATGACGTTGTATTTTATAGGCTTCGCGCACCCTTATCCGGACCATCCGGTGGAAAGTCCTTTACCGTAGGGAAAAACATCTAGGTCAAGATGTTTACCTTCCTGTGACAGATCCGCCTGTCGCTAGGATCATGTTTCAGGCGTAGAATGCGTCGGGCGTTATAGTGAACTGCCAATGGGTCTAGGCGATTGCGGACAGGCTCGAGAGTATTCCAATGGCTATGCCCCTATGGTGGACTTCCGTACTGGATAAATCTCCCTGTAGCGTCGTAGTTTCCTCGCAACCAACTCCTGCACGTAAACCACGCATTCTCACTCTATGACTTATGTAGAAAATATTTTTCGTGACCTACAATACAGTAAAGCATAGTTAAGTCAGGGAGTAGGTAGTGATAAGGTTTACACGCAATGGATAATTAACTACTTGAAGAATAGACTTTCATGGTGTCATATGTGTCAGGATAGTAGCCTGTCCGTCAGGTGAAGAACCAGTAAAGGCTAGATGATTTGATTCAAATTGTTACTATCCAATTGTAACAAGTTCAAATTTCGTGCAGATTCCGTTCACTGGAAGTGGGCGATGGGTTAAACTCCGCGGATTTAGAGGAAGATTATAGATATAACTATGACAAAAGGCTTTCCTGCAGTTAACCGCCCAGGCCTGCATATTCATTATAACTGCTTCCCATTTTTGGGGGGCCTATTCTAGCCACTACTCCATGAAAGGGTTTAGATGCTAGTACTGTGTACAATTAAAGTGATAGGTGGAGCTAGGAAAAGCTTTTTGCGAAAGTAGAATTTTCCTTAACGTAGTATAAAGGTGTGAAACAGGAATATTCTTTGAAGGCGGAATTACGGCTGTTTCGGATTTGGATTTTCGGTGGGACCCTCGGGTCATTTTAGTTTTGTTTGGGAGATATTTCGGCGGCACTTCGGTGCGTTCTAGAGATAATTTGATAATTTGATTTTTAAATCGATCATGATACTGCCAAGGAGAAGGCCAAAGGATCAAATTGTGCGTTGTGCTATAGACCAAAGCAGCGAATCTAGGCGAAGAAGAAAGAAGAAATAGTTACATATAGGGGCGTTCTGGTATACGTACGTCACAATATGAAAACCTTATCTTCCCTATTTAGCATGTTTGCATCCATCTCTAACTGTCCTCGACCATAGCAGATAATTTCTTGCGGGTCTTTCGGTTTCTAAATTTAGAGTTTATACCCTTGGCGTTTTCTATATCTTGTCCAGGTATCCATGGGCTGCACTCGGAGGGCTACTCTTCCGATTTCTCTAGAAATGTAGATCATCTCATAGGTGTTTCACACTTTGAACACTTTAACTTCGTGTTGGTCATCGGCTTCTAAGTCGCGTGTTGGCATCGACTCGGAGATTGTTAGCATTCGCGGTGTACAAGGTGCTGAAAGAGGCACCGGAACACGTTATGGGCACGAGACTACTGTTTCAGTAATGCAACACGGTATGCTTGGGCACCAAGCTTTTACTACCTAGCTAGCCAGCTAAGAAGTTAGTCATTAGATGTACTCATACTCTAGCTAGTCCGCTGGGGCCCTGCCCCCGTCTGCAAGAGTATAAGGTCCATGGTCCATGCTTTTTTCTCCTTGCATTTCTTCTCTGCTGTGTTGCCTGGTGCGATCTCGTTTGGTCTGGCCCGTACTCTCTATAAAGTAATCCATTGCAATTCACTCTTTCCCCTAAAAACGTAAACGGCTAGCGTCATTCACATATGTAATTCCAGGCCGCGCCGGGAAAATTGTCTATAGAAATGGGGATAATTGGGTCGGATATTTTGTCAGCGGGTATGTGCTCCTTATCGACAGTACCTGGCTTCTGCTATTCACCCCTCCAACTCCCAATTCAAACGCCCGATTAATCCAAATGCCCATTTACCCATTACCAACCACAGAAACATTGAAAAAAAATATAGACCCCCTTCGGTATACAGGAAATGCATGTAAAACCAGATTTTCTGGTTTTTCATGAGATTTATGAAGGGGGTAGCCAGGGAAGGTCAAAATTGCTAGGTGGGCTTTTAGATTGACACAGGCTTTTGAACTGGGAATGTCAACTGCTGTCTAAAGCATGGGTCTGCCTTAACAAAACAATGAGTGGGGACCACGGAAGAGTCCTCGATTTGGTTAGCAACAATAACCTTGTTATCGCGCTAACACTAGGCTTGAACAAGGCTGCTAAGAGCTTAGCCATCCATGACGGGGTTCCTCATCGAGTGGAAATTAACCCAGAATACGACTCTGCAGATATACTTGCTTATGGCCAAAGCCTAATGCTGACTGAGGAGTCCTCACCCTAGTACGACGGAATACTCGAGTGTACTCGACTACTAATACTGTCTGCGGCTCTGGTCGTTGTCTTGCTAACACTCGTTGGCCTGGAGTGCCTTTCACACTTTCCGTGCTTCTCGCTCTCTTATCCCCAGATCCGGTCATCTTTGCTTGCCTTAACTGGGGTGTTTCAAATCTCCTCTTCCTAAGCAACATAATCGCCCCGAGAACTATCACCTACCACGTTTGTTGAACACCACCGTACCGCCACCACTCCGGAAAGTAGCTATCCAGAATTTCCCGATACTTTCCCTTAACTACACCTACGCCAGCCGCCGTATACTGCCTTAAGTGCGACCATCAAAGTCGCTGAAAGGTCTAGAGCGAGTGATCTGACCCCTCTTCGAAGCAGCCCCCCTTCTTGCCTACCTGCTCCGAGCTGTTCCTTATGAAGCCTGCTCCCCACAAGCCACTGTCCGACACCATGTCCGAGGACTCCGCCCTGTGGAGCGACTCTAGCGACAGCGAGAGCACCGTCGAGTCGATTGCTAGCCTTAGAGAACTACGTGACCCAACCGAGAGGTATCCCATTTTCTTCGATAGCCCCGGCTCGAACGATTTCAGCGCCTCGGTCGATCACCCGGTCGATCACCCAGTCCTCGCCGATCACAGTCTGTGGAGCGACTCTAGCGACAGCGAGAGCACCGTCGAGTCGATTGCTAGCCTTAGAGAACTACGTGACCCAACCGAGAGGTATCCCATTTTCTTCGATAGCCCCGGCTCGAACGAATTCAGCGCCTCGGTCGATCACCTGGTCGATCACCCGGTCGATCACCAGGCCCCCGCCAATCACAGTCCGGGTCCGATCCGGTCGTCATCCCAACAACCCCTCTTATCAGAAAACGACTCGCCCACTGACTCGCTGTCATCCGTCAAGTCCGTTGCCGCCAGGGTCCATTTCACCTTGGAGACATTGCACTCAGATGCCCAGTATAGCAGCCCGTCGCTTTGGTCCCAGAACCTCACTGGCACAAACCACTACTTCCGCGAGAAGAAGTGGGATTTCTTCCCAGAACTCGCGACCCCGTCCGCAAAGCAGGCCAGCTTGCAGACCGGTCTCGGCCTGAGCAATGGGAAACCTCGCAAGGACGGCCGTTTCAATCTCGCAGCGAAGCGGCGGGGGTCGCACTCGCCCGACCGTGCGGGTCTAGGTCTCGCCCAAAGGTTCGCGACTCCGTCAAGACCTACGTCCACCGTACATTGCTATCCCGCCCCACGACTGAACCCAAAGCTAAAGACTGAAGCAATGAATCAATCGATTTTCATTAATCTGAGTTAGGTTCTATGCAGGGAATATGCTTATGGGACCAGTCTGACGCAGTGAACTGTTGCTCGCAGCGGAAAGAAAGGACACTGAAAAGTATTGAGATGTGTGTAGGGACTGAAGGATGGAGATCTATTGTCGAACAACAACGGAAAATCACTTACAGCCTTCTCTTCTTGATCGCTCCTGTGTCCCTACATTTTGTCATTTTTTTGTTCGTACTCTTGAGAATAAGCACCAACTTGGACCACTTACTCCGAGTATCGCAGCACTACCCCCTATCTTCCTACAGTCTATACAAAAGTTTGAACCCACTCTTCAGCTGATCTCTTTCTCAGTTTTGACAGGGATTTGTCTTGATGCTTGCCCCTTTCGACGTTTTGAGGTGACTGATATTCCATTAAACTAGCACACCGTAGCCGCAGAGGCCGTTGCGTGGTCACCAAGCGGTTGTGAAGGGTGTCATGGATTTCTCAACCTTACCAAAGGGAGGATAAACAAACCTTCTGTTGACCCCCTTGGCCTACGGAAGGATCGGAAGAACATATTAGGGCAAAGAATACAAAAACACCGCGAGGCATCTTGTCAGTATTGTGATTTGAGGCTGCTGTTGCTCGGGAATGAAGCCGCAACATCAGAAATAATAGAAATAATTCTTGCGCTATCTATACGAAGTCCAAAGCTGATCAGAAGTCAAGTTGGACTTCGTGCTGTATATGTGGCCTCTTTGGATCCCTCTGGATGATAATAATCAAGCATCCTTTTGCTTTACAACAGATAGCTTGAAGCGACGCTACTTGGATATATATGAAAACTGGGGTCCTCCATTGTAGGGACGATATGCCATCACCACAGTTGCAGTCTACTTTGAATTTGAGGATGGGGATAAGTCCGAAAAGAACACGCTGCATTTGGTGGGTCCGATCCCAATTTTCTTGACAGTCCAACATAAACACTATTCCCTAGCGGCCTCTCAACCGCTGCTGTTAATTACCGACAACTAGGGCGGCGGCCCTTAAGAAATCGGTTCCACCCTCGAGACTACTCGTTAGCAGAATTCAAGACGACTCTAATGCTTGCTCGAAGAAATATAGACAAGAGATCTGCTATCTTGATCTAGCCCTAGCCACAGTCCGCATCTTTCGTTACCCGCGCGGCCGTGAGCTTCCTTCGTAAGTTTATTTCTTTCTGTCGAGTTTCTCCCCCTCTAGGTGCTTCGGCAGCACGACTCCCACAGCGTCGGTAGAGTCCCACAATCCTAGCGGCCTGCCAGTCTTGATCACTTGGCGTAGGCTGTTCGGTTGGTACACTGGAGCTAGAAGTCAAAACAAAAGAGACAGTAATAACAGCCACGACAATAGCTATGGATCAAGCAGTGTTTAAACTACACCAAGAGGCTTCTCTGTGAGAAGCTCTGTCGTGTATATAGACTTTTTGTCTTTATTAATTACTCTAAGATCTACCTCATCCACCAGATTGCAAGAGAATTTCTTATCGCGAAGAGTGGTTCTAATAGTGTCGGTCTCGCATACTCATAGAGAATAAGTGCCGACGATCTCTTAATATACCTAATGACACAAGAACGTACGCCGTCGTATGGGCGTCATTAGATGGACATGAAACGGTCGTGCAGATATTATTAGATCACGGAGCCGATATCAACGACTAGGGTAGAGACTACGGAGACACAGGAAACGCCCTCAAACCCGCTTGTTCTAAAGGACATAAAGGACACGATAAGACTATACAGCTACTGCTAGAGCGCGGAGCCGAATTCAACGCCCGGAGTGGCTACCGCGGAAACGCCCTCAACTCTGCTTGTGTTAAAGGACACTATAAGATTGTGCCTATGGGGAGCAAATCTTTCCCCACCGGGATTGACAAACCGGAATCTCAGAATGTCGGAAATGATAGTAAAATAAATCACTCCAGATAACACACACTTTTTGTTCTCCCCGAAGTATTAAAGTGAGTTAAAGCTGAAAATCTATTCCGAAACCCAGGATAGACACAAAAAATGAGTCTTAGAATTGATGTCGGTGCTTTTTGAAGGGGCAGTGGGAGCAATCTAATGGAGGATGATTTCACGTGGTGGGGCTAGCGTGTTGCATTTTATTGAGGCGTGGCTTCCTGGCTGGTCACCCCTGCGCTCAGTGAGCTTACATAATGCTCACTGATTGGATCAGATCGCTCAGAGACGTGCTCAGGTCTACTCAGTGAACAAAAGCGGCACTCTTCTGGGTCGTCAGAAAAGAGGGCATCACAAATTGACTGCACGATGTCTTCATGTGTGTGATACTCTGCGAAGGAATATATGTGGCCTAAGCCTTGGTACAAAACACGCGGAGATTGATCGCTAAACCATCGATTACTGTCTTTCCCTAGAATTGTAATACTCCTGTCGCTATTGGGCATATCATCTGATAGAAAGCAAGGACCCTATTGCTGAAACAGAAAATGCATTTTCATTTCTTCAGAAACATTTTCTGTACTGGATAGAAGCAATGTGTATTCTAGGTCTTGCTTCGGGGGTTGTGGGGATTATTAACCTACTGCAGTCAATTTTACACGTGTCTATTAAGTGTTCTGATTTTATTTACGCTAATTATACAGAAGGATGAAAACTTGAAAGTGTCGGAATTTTTGCATGATGCAAAGCGGTCTTTCTTTAGAAATCGATGAATGGCAGACGACATTCCCTTTCAAATTTATCATGTAGGACTTATATTTGCACCAAAAACTACAATGATTCGGCAGTAATTTAAAGCGGAACGCCTGTTGAGATAAGGGATAGTGATCGAGCGAGCTAAATCAGTAATGGCTAGTATTGCAATGAGTGGGGATTCTTTTGGAAGGGGAACCAATCAGTAGAATTGACAGAATAGAATTGATTGATTGTAGATAAAATGAGTGGCGGGCAGAGGGTATGTTAAATACACATCTGCAGTGTTGGTCCATAGTTGATATGTAGATGGGACCAATTCCTCCGTGTCTTAGAGGTCCCATGGGATACTCGAGAGTGACTTGAGTGTCGTCTCGGAACCCCGTAATTTACATACAAAACACAAAGAAAGGCGGGGGACGAAGGAAACCAATAGGAGGCAGCTGTAAGTAACTGCTCCACTATCCTCGACAGATAGGATCTCGGAGGAGCGATATCGTATGCCAGCAATTGAGTGATATTAAAGACAGCTTAAACTAATATAACCCCTGAGCGGGAGTATGCTATTCACACATCCCGAATGCCACGATACCGTATAAGGCTGGTGGCATCAGGGAGGGCAACCTACTATCTAGTAAGGCCTCGGCGTTATTGAAGACTGCTGAAACCTCAACAACGCCTAGATTGGATACGCGTGTTGTCAGATATTTAAGAGAGATGAAGTGCAGAATTACAGACTCTCGAGGGCCATTCAGACTTAGTTGATTCGGTGGTCTTCTTGCCCGACGGCCGGCTACTGGTGTCTGGGTCATGGGATAAGACTGTCCGGCTCTGGGATGTGGCCACGGGCGCTCTACAGAAGACTCTTGAGGTCGAGGGTGTAGTCACCAAATTAGAAATTTCTGCAAGTTGTTCATACCTCAATACTAATCTTGGGAACCTCAATATCCAAACCTCCCATGACATGCTGCCCTGCAGTCCAACTAGAACCCAGGCCAGTATGCTCCTAGTAGAAGGTCAGTGGGTGACTTTTCGAGGCGAAAAGGCACTATGGCTTCCTCCCGAGTATCGACCCCACTCTTCGGCAGTCAAAGACAATACTCTTGCGTTAAGACACAAGTCGGGACGAGTTTCAATCATCGAATTTGTGCCTAGTGAATATCAATGAAGTTTTTTAAGTTCATGCTCCACTATATTTCTTTATCTCCTTTTCTTGATCCAAATATCTTATTCTGCGTACATATCATTTTTCAACCTGTCTATCACAATCCAATCTGAGAGACTTCTTTCGTTTCTTAGCATCCTGAGCGTCTCCTCGCTCTTTAACCATGTCAGCTATGTTTGTCCCAACATCCGATCCAAGATTTCTGAAACCTGCAATGACACCCTGACGGTCGCCATGACCTTTATCTTGGCTCATCTTGAACTTGCCTTGAATTGTCTCGATTGTGATCTCGATCCCAATGATAGACCTTTTTTTCCCTTCAATGAAACTCTTTGGGGCATCAAATACACTCCACGGTGGCAGACTCTCACGATGCCCCGTGTAGCCCATGATGGACGTTTCACAGTGCTGTGATAAATCGTGAAGCTGATTGGAAAGGTAGTTCCAGGTCTCTGGCAAGGATGGATCATGGTAAATGGTCGCTTTGCCATATATCTGAACGGCTGCGTAGTTCCATGTGGGCACTACCTTGGCGCTTTGGGGTTTGGTTTCAGTGTAGAACTTGGGAGTCACATAATGATGATCTGCCCCTGTGAACATAACCATTACATCGTGTTGCAGTTTCCCATTTGGCGCATTGGTGACTTCTTCCAACATAGCCTTCGATTGAGGATTTTGCCTTGCCATATGCCCTCGCAACGTGCCTTTCACAGGAGCCTCGACGTCATGAGAGTGAACATTCAGAGCCCATGGTATATGACTAGATTGCAGCAAAGGGTAGCAAGACGAGGGAATCGCGGTTGTAATAAGCCCAAGAGGATTCTCCCGGATAAATTCAAAGAGCAACTGTAATGACGGCTCTGTATAAAGGTCTCGTTGGTACATGGTGGCGAGAAAATGAAGGCTGAAGTTGAAATCTTCGAGCGTGTGTAGGAAGCTAGGGAAAGAGGTAGTCAAAATTAGTGGATCAAGGGAAAACTAACGAGGTGACTCACATGGCGTGAGTCACGACTCTCCCTGTGGGTGCGACTCCCTTCTAGTGTCGGAACGCAGCAGGATATGTGGATACCCGGAGCAGGACATACTATATCCCGCCAAGATCAGTCATATAGTAGAGCCCATCTAATTTGCCAGCAAGGGGTCTCATAGCAATCCAGACCTATCATACATTCCATTGGTGCACCCGTATGCTCCACTTCGCTATTTTTCCAATACTGCGTACTTAGTGAGTCTGAGGCCGGACTGAAATTTACTCAGTGAGCCTGACTCTGAGTGCCCTGATAAAAGCGGCGGCAGCTCAGATAGGAAAGCCCCACCCGGCGGCAGAGGAACTGGTACGTACGTAGAGTGCCCTAAGTACTGTAAGCAATCAGCTGGTTACATATAAAAAATGATTCTGACAACACACCAAGCCGGCACATGGTTTTTATTCCACAACAGTGATTACGTGACATTGAAAGGAACTGGGTATATCAGGGTGCGACGGGAGGTGGAGTACTGGAAGTACGAACGGCGTGCTAGCCTTATTCTATTTTGCATTTGCTAAATCGTATCCAGGCACGCTGGTGCTACTGAGGATTTATCTGTCGATCATTCGGACACATTTAAGCTTGTTGCTGGGGGAGGCGGCTTTCAATATGCTGACAAGCCGGCTCCTACCGCTCCGCACGAATTTTCGAACTGTTCGAAATTCGCGAATTTCGACGAATCGAATCGAATTCGAACCTTGGTTTTCGAACTTCGAATCTGTACGCGATTCGATTCGTCAAAATTCGCGAATTTCGAACAGGTTCGCGAACTAATTTCTAGCTTTCTTAGCAGAAGCACGCCTTGGAGAGGAGTTTTTGAGGTGTCCGGCCCCGACAAAAAGACTTTAGCAAATGCATAATATCAACCGCATGTATTCCAAAAGAAACCATAACTGCGTAACTATTCAGACTTCCAACGTGCAGCATCTTTCAGCCTTATTAAGGTCCCAAGAGTCTTGCCTTTCATAGAGAAACGTCGAATTCCCAGTACATCTCTCCCGCCATTGAATAATCTCTCTATATCTACCTCCGCTGCTGGTATAGCAAGGTGATCTTGTGCTGCCTTGGCCATACAAGTAAATTCAAGCCTGTTGGCCTTCCACCAGTCCCGTATAAATTCAGTCTGGCTCTGGCTTGTTTCGAAACCAGTGCTGATTGTAGGAGTATCGAAATACTGGTCGATATCTGACTCAGCGACGTTACACTGCGTTGGCTGAAAGGCCTCCAAAAATCGATATTCGAAGCTCTTGTAATTGGTGCTTGGAGCAGTCGATGCAGGCTGTTCCGGGGTGTGATATGCTTTCTTCAGGAACGCCCTGATTCGGTCGATAATCTTGTCTCCATCTAGTAGCGTTTTGAGCCACTTGGTCTTAATTCGAGGATCCAGAATGCTTGCGATATAGTATATATCGTTGTCTTTAACACAGTCGTAGTACCTCTCCAGGAGTAAGATTCCGTCGGAAACAGAAATGGTTATTGCTGCCGAGGTTTTCTGCCACTCGCCTCGTCGTTCCTTAATAGCGAGGAGTATAGAACGGAGCTCTTCAAACATACGCGCCGCCATATGAATTAAAGGACTGTCTCGAGAGACGTACTCAGTATATTCGTTGAAGGGAGTCAGGATTTTTTTGATATCTGAGAGTTGTCTCCAGTCGTCATGTGTGAGACGCAAGGCTTCAATATCTGGCTCGTCGTTGACCGTATCTTCGAGCTGCCGGCGACACTCTTCGGCTCTCTCAATCATAACAAAGGTAGAGTTCCATCGAGTGTCAACATCGTAATTAATAGCTTTTGTACAGCCAGGCCGATTATCCCACTTCTGTATTCGCTGGGGAGATCGCGCAATCCAAAGGACAAGTAGTCGAAGCTTTGCAATAGGCGAAGTAGGAGCATTGATAGTCTTCCAGCTTCCCTTAGCAACATCATCAAGAAGACCACAGGCTTCCTTATGCGAACTCGCGCGTAGAGACCTCAGTATAGATTTCATGACCAAATTCAAGATATGAGCAAAGCAGCGGATTTAGGAGTTCTGGGTAAACTTCATCATCCCTTCTCGGATGATAGTCTCAGCCAGGTACTTATCATACCGCTAAGACAGCTTTTGGTAGAGGCACCGGTATAGGGTGTCATTATTAGATGCGTTGTCGGCTGTAATTGTCATCACTTTATCAGATATATAAAACCTGTCGAGAACCGTCGCGACAATATCAGCAAGCTTCTCTCCAGAGTGGTTGCCTTCGATTTCAACGAACTCAATACAGGCTCGATATTGCTGAAAATCAGGGGACATCCAGTGGGCATTAATTGCTAGCATTAGTAACGAGTTCTGACTTGTCCAACCATCAAGAGATAGCGCGATTGACGAAGCTAAAGACATCAAAATTCGAAGCTCACTATCAAGAGCATCAAGCCGAAGACCTAATCGGCGGGACACTGTATCCGCACTCGGTAAGGAGTCCTAAAAGCCTGCGGACCTTAACATAGCCTTAAATAAAGGGTGTTCGACACATATAAACGGCTGGCAGGTCGATATAATCCAATTTAGGAGTGCCTCTTCGAAGGGGAGCTTCTTTTCCTTAGAAATCCATGAGCTTAGTAGTCCTTGGCCTTCTAAATAACCGTCCTGAAAGAGCTTGTGTGCTTGCTGCAGATGCTGTTTCAACGCTGTAGTTGAAGATCGTAGTTTAGATACAAATCGAAAGAATCGACAGGTAGATAGCGATACAATGCACAGGTGTTTAAGTTCGAGCCGCTCCTTATTTCCTAATCTCCAAGTGCCAGGTTCAGGTGTTGTACTATAGTATTTCCATACCCAGCTCCGCTCCTTCGACTTAGTCTCATCATTCTGCTTGATTTCAACCCTCTCAACCTCGCATTCGACCTGAGATATTGATTGCGAAGGGCATATCTCCGTATCAAGGTTCGATAAACTCCTGGAAACATTGCTAGGAGCCGTAGGAGAAGTTGAAATCGGAGGAGTCGGTAACTTAGGGGCGCGTTAGGCCGCTCTCTTCCTTCGAGGGGGTAGGAGTGATATATCCTCTGCGAGGAGGCCATATTTATTAAGCGCCGCATAATCGCGTTTATTCTTCCTAGTATTAGGACAGCCGAATATCATAGGAAGTGGAGAAGTCATCTTTACATAATATTAGTATATCAAGATTATGTCTTGATTGATCGCTTACTTTAGAGCACCCAGAAGTGATGGTTTTCAGTAGCGTTTAACCACGATTCGGATGTTGTTCTGGATAAAAGCATATACGCGTCTCCACGCGTCCTAGTGGAATCTCCGCTAGCCCGATTAGACTGTCCATTTGCTCTACATTGAATAAAATGTGCAACTATAGATATCTTCCCTCTATATTAATAGGTTACGTGTATCTCAATGCGATCTATAGGATAATTTAATTTGAAGCAAAACGGACAAGAAATAAGGTTATGGTCTTATTGACTAAATTAGAACTAAAAATTATATATTATTTGCATAGAGGTTATTGCCAAACACTCGCGTCTATTGATACTGCCCTATAACTCTCTTCATTCGAGGTCAAATTGTTTAATTTTTATGTAATAGACAAACCCTAGCTTATCTATTTCTGTATCTGTTGATTATTTAACTAGTTAACTCAATAACAGCCATTTATTACACTTCATGTGGCGTCGATTGATGGCATGGCGTGGAACTGCAGACACTGCCAGTCCTCATTTACCGCCTTCCCAATGAGGCTTTGGTCCCAAAAGTTCGCGAACTTCGAATCGAATTCGAATCGGCCGTGAATTCGAATTCGTACGAATCGATCTGTTCAATAATAATTCGAATCGAATCGAATCAGGCAAAAGTTCGATTCGATTCGATTCGTGCGGAGCGGTACCGGCTCCATTTTGTAACAATTTAACAATCCTTCTGGAGTCTGCCACAACGCCACGGGTGGCACTGATGATGGCTACACTTGGTTTACCAATCAGGCTAATCACTGGCATAACGAGTATTACTGGCTCGATGGGCAAGTTACTCTTCCAACTCTGGAAGCAACTGGCTTGTACAATGTTGCTGTTGAGACAATTGGTACGTGAATCTCTTCGTCCGAAATCTTGAAGACTAACGGTAATCTAGACTATGCTTCAAATTCTGTCAGACATTAATGATGCTGGCACAGGCCACAACCATGTCGGCGCCTCTTATGACCCTACATATGACAAATGCCCTTGTGCTTCATAGGTAGAACAAGCTCATATTACTCAAGGGAGTTGAGAATTTTCTTAGATTGATCTGAGAATGGAAGTTTTCTTGGTTAAATTCTACGGCCTTCAGTACTCCTCATTGCCTCCTATACTGCAATTTGAACCCATACATTATGGTTGTCACTTGATTATACGGCCATTCTTCGCTGTTCTTCCCACCGTGAGCCAACCAATCTGTGACATTCAACACCACAGCTAGTTCAATGATATTCTAAGATGGGAGACTTCAACCCTCTCTTGTTGAATCCTGAACCCGACATGTGCATAAATTAGCCAATCAAGAATCACCGTTGCGGATATGACGGGTTCTACGATCGGGTCATTACGTCGACGTAAAGCTACAAGGTAGCTTTCCCAAGAGCGGAAACGATTCAATAGAACTAGATTAGTCGAAAATCGTACTGATATGTATGAGGCTTGTGCTGATCAGGAACAAAGCCGTGATATTGGACGTACTGATAACAACCGCCACTACGGAAATCTGTGCCACTGTGTCCGCAACATATACCCTGGCAACAAACTGCCCATCTGCGGATAACTAGTGGCGCCGCTATGTCCGTGAGTCCTAACTACGATCCGTTCGAGTCGGTAGCGGCTGATTTGTGGTACGCACACGTGTTGCGATATGACGCAGTTGCTGCTTCGGAATACAGCCGCAAACGTCGGAAATAATTCCTGCACATCAATACGAAGACCAAGTTGATTGGAAAATGTTGTATATGTGCCTCACGCTGTGGGAGAATTGTCAGATTACTTATTACATACACATCTGTCCTGGCGACTTGCTTACTGCTAAAGGGGCAGCATCAGCAGCGGCTGGCGATGTTGATCACTTGGGGTAGGCTGTTCGGTCGGCACACTTGAGCCAGAAGCTAAAAACAAAAGGGATAACAATAAACAGCCACAAAAAACAGCTATGGAGTGAGCAGTGTCCAAACCACACCAAAATCCCATAGCACCAATCTTAATTGTCGTCGAGAAACAGCCGGACACATCAAATCCAAGCAACCGTCAAACGCTTTGCCTTGCCCGCCTCTTTTTGATCACTTTGTATCGAGGTCCAGATCGAGAAACGCTATTACGCATAGGCGAAGGATGGGATGGGCTGTGGCTCATTTGACGAACCGGCAATATGGAGCTGGGTCGACCGCGAATAAAGAGATCGTGGCGGTAGGCGCCCCCAATTTTGCGAAACCCATGGTAATAAAGCCGCCGAACGAGAGACTGGTAGCTCTTGGTGGAAAGCCGTGCAAGCAAATGCGCAGGGAAGTTGTCCTCTAGAGCAAGAAAGATAGACTGCCCATCTTCTGACCAACGCATTGCTTCTGTATTTCTCGGATCATCGAGAACCCTTTCACGTGTTAGTAACAAAAGTAAAAAAAATTGGGATCTCGGTTTGTTTTCTTTACTCACTCGCTCAAGTTCTGAACAAAATCAGATAAATGTAATCTGGGTGCTTGACTTGCAGTACTCATGGGCTGTGGATTCTCGTGTTGCATAGTATTTCCCGAAACAGAGCCTCCTGCCTCGCCTTTTTCGTGTAGCTCTTCAATGATTGGTGGAGTAGTTTGATCACTGTTGGGTTGGTGAGTATCCCCACGGGTGGGAGGTCGATCTCTGTCGCTTAATGTCTCTTCTCTCGAAGCCCTGGCCTCAGAAGTGGCTTCACCAAGAGGATTGCCTCGAGCACCGCCAGGTTTCGGAGCTTCCTCTTGAAGAGTAGCATGGGGTTGATCTTGGAAGAGTTGAGCAACTACATCGTGATGATTCGTGAGACGTTGCTCAACTACCAACATATTTTCCAAAACTGCCATCACCTGGTTTAGCTTTCTATGCACCATTGTAGAGTAAGGTCTGACTATGAGGTGCCCACCTTCATGGATTATCTGCCGAGCATCTTTAAGCTCCTTTAGAGCCGTCTCACTCGACCCAAGTTCCTTTTCGCAATCGCCTTTATCTGGCCAAGGGTACAGAAAACGCCAAGGCCTACCGGATCTAAGCAGTTCAAGGTCATCTTCGGGTAGTTCCACCAAGGATTCTCCGATCTTTAGCTTTGATGGTCCTTCAAAGTGAGGGCCGGCAAAGAGGACGACCCTCGTCCAGGTCAATGCTTGTCCCTCCCTCACGGGGGGCCTCGGGGTTAGGAAAAGGTTATCTAGGCACTTGCTCAGGCGAATACTGGCCAAGTCCTCTCCGCGACTGAGGGCAATACTACCACCCCCGTTTAACACTGACAAGTAACCCTCTAGTTCATCAGAGAACTCGGAAAGGGAGATATCGGTAAAGCGGAGAGGGCGTAGACTTCTATCATGGCGGCAAGTGATAAAGTCGTTCGCTTCGTTATAAATAATTTGACGAGGTTCATGGAAATTTTCGTCGTTGGTGGGCATCTTTCATGAATCGAAGGCTTTTGAGCACCCCCTGGATAATGAAATGAACAAGGGATTCGATGTCATCAGCGGCCGCTTCAAAATTGAAATTGACTAAAATCTTTCCGTCTCTGATTGGTTAAATGAGGCGGAGCGGAGACGATGTCGTGATGACTCAGCTGCTGTTCCAGCCACACATCAATTCGATGCTATGCAATTGAAGCAGAGGTCTCCTGGGAGGGGACAGCCAATTTGCCGCTCCCATTTTTAGACCGCCCTCGTGGCGCGCAACTTCTAAAATTGTGACACCTCGGGAACGTCTAGTATGGCCCTGACCGTCCTAGCTCGTGAGACGATATCTGGTTTACCTCTCGGTTGAGCTTCCCAGTATACTTGACGTGCTTTTATTTTGATATGAGGCAGTTGCTGCTCGGGAACGAAGCCGCAAGACTTGAAATAGTCCCTGCACTATCTACACAAAGACCAAGTTGATTTTTACGTTGTATATATGGCTATGTATCTCCTTAGAAATCTGAAAAAAACCCAGCTTCCTTTGATTTACAACAGCTGTAAAGGCGTCCCTACTTCCTTCTTGATTCCCTCCGAATTTTTTTTAGCCTTAGACAATCCACCAGTATGTTGAAGTGAGGAGGAAACGGATGAGAGCATTATACGCAACTAGGCAGCCTGGATGGGATGAATTGGAGACTTGATACCGTAGTTGGAGGGCCGCCACTGTACCTGAGGGGAGACCGAGAGAAGAGGTACCGGCTTTATCAGTAGGGATGGAATCTCTTCATCCAGACACTAGGGGTGTCTGGAAGCCCAAGCCTCTCTCAGCCCTCCGTCATCCTTCTTCGCTCCTCAAATCCGCCAACCCCACTGCTCCACCCGATCGAACTACCCCACCACCCAACAACAAACCTCTCCACCAAATCCCGATCACCTACTCTACTATCGCTGCTAGAGCCCTCTTATTTTATAGCCAAGCGCTTACCGCTGTCACCCCTGCCCAAGTGGCCCAGAATCGCTTGTACTGCAAGCTTCTCGCAGCCTTTGGCTGAACAGCGTGCTGTTTTGCCTGCGGATCGACTAAGCCCTTGTACACACTCCAGAAAAATCCTATCAAAGAGATGCAGCAACGTCACTTGGCACAATGTATATGGCCGATCATCTATCGTGACTTGAAGCCCGTCTTTGAGATGCCCGATACTGTCATACACTCAAGCACCGCATCTCCATCACCCCAACGCATGAACGTCGAGTCATCCACCGAACAGTCATCTATGATAATGATACTCGAACCAGGACCAAACAAACCTCAGCCGACTTGCTCTTCTGAGTCTTCTCGGCCTCGTCAACCCCACCCCCCTAAAGAATGGGATCAAACAAAGTCAACTTACGTTGACAGTTCAACACATCAATCAACGTTGACCATTGACTGCTAACATCAACTGCTAACGTTGAGTGCTGCGTTCGGAATTCTCATGTAGATACATGAGAATGAGCATTGACCTGTAGCGAATGAGTCAACGAATTTGTGGTTCACAAGAAACGCCGCTCTCTTATCGGAGTGAGCACCGTAGACGATCTCAGTGGCGATAGATTCCGGGAAGATAGCCAGTTTCTGGACCGAAGATATAGTACAGTAGTAGAAGTAGCGATTCTTTCAAGGCAACCAGACAGTATTTGTTGTGATCTCAACATCAATTAGTAATTAACGTATCGCCATCTTGAAGTACTGCTTTACATACCATGTGTCACATCCGTGAGACTCGATGAAGATCAAGATCGTCTTGTGGATTGCTACGGAGGGTTGTTCTTTGCGAGCGCCACACGGATAGGACGATTCCACCAAAATATGCAGCGAACAGCCCCATATAACCAAGGACCGCCCCCGAAAGTGGTTTGCGATAAGTGCATTCGTAGCCCGCAAAAAATTCAAGGACAGACAAGCCGTAGAGGACCAAAACCAGACTTGCTTTAAAGCACTCATTTGGCGTCAAGTCATCGTCACTGTGGTACCACAGCACAAGGGACACAACGGCAGTAATGGCGGCGGTAACACCAGACACTTAAAAAACATCTCTGTTATAAGGGATAAATGCAGTCCATATCCGTGCAATTGCTCGCAGACGAATGTGACGGAAAGCAAACTGAACGCGATAAGTGAAAGACATTTAAGTATCTCCGCATAGTATCTCTCTGTGCGCAACACAAGGATGGAAGGCTGGCACTTCTCAGCCCCAACTTCTACCATGACTGGAATAGGCCTGGAAAAATTTGAGTATGGTTGTACTATCCGGGGACGGTCGCAAGATTTTCAGGAGATCCTCAGAGTGATATACTCGCGTCCTGTACAGGCCGTGCTGGCTGATCTCCTCTGAGAGACCCTATTTTCGGCAGAGCTTCCACGGACAGAGTGTCTCCCTTGCTATGAAATATTCTCAGCGTTTGTGAACGTGCACGTACGGTTCAGGACGTAATGTGTACTAGAAGTGATGATGTATGTTGAGCTCTCAACCCTCATCGAATTCTTTTCAACTGCCGGAGATGACCGCGACACTGAAGTGAGTCTGATTGGGATGTGAAATATCGACGTGTACTTCTAGCCCTAAAGTCTAAACGTAACCAACCATTCGTTGATCAGCTTGCGCCTGCTGTCGTCATTCAACGTTGACGGTGGGTAAGAAACAAAGAAGTCTTTCCTTATGGAGCCTGAAAAATGCAGAATACATTTGACAAATGGTTGTTGATTAGTCAGCATCACTTTCTTGACTTAGCTAACTATCGTTGGATCCTGTATCTTGGGCGTGTCTCAATTGTCTCGAACCTCTGCAGGGCAAAGCAAGCTGAAAACCGACGGAGCGATCGGCCACTGTATCAAAGAGGGGCGTCGCAAACTGTTGCGGGTGGATCGCGGCCTGAGTTCCACCACAACCGGGCCATTCTTCAGAAGGGTTAATCGAACACCCACGAACACAACCTTCAGATGAGACAGTAATTACAACCGATAATGTTACACTAACCATCATGTACCTCAAGGGGAAGAGTTTGAAATGGCATCTTCATGGGGTTGGAGTGACCGTCACGGATGGATCACCAGAGTTGTCTGTTCTGAAACTGATTGCCCCACTGTTTAGCGAGTTCCCGCCAGGGGCGCGACAGAGTGCGTTTCCGCCCCTGAGGCACTTTGACACGGAACTTGCGGTGTACACATAACTACGACAATCCAGACAAAGCAACAATCCAAGCTCCTTGGGTTAGGGGTGCAGCTCTGGAAAATGGGCCGCTCATTGAATAGGGGAATCCTTCAAAACTCGCCAAAGAATAAGGAATACCCTTATCCTCCGTGGTTCTTTCGCGTCCTCGGTCCTTATGTCCTTAGCGATCGTTCGCCCTGTGGCTACGAGTTTGATGAGGACCTCTCTGATCTAGAGGAAAAGGGAGCAGAGAGTTATGAAGAGTGGCCAACGAGGAAAAGAAGAAAATTTGAGGATAGCGATCGGGAAAGCGACGAAGACGAAGACGAAGACGAAGACGACAGTACATCTGAGAGATCACATGCTGATTCTTTGGCCGACGTTTACTATGAATTCAAAGAAATACGCGAAGAACGAAAAAGGGAGCTTGAACGGGAACGACAAGATATACTCGACATGATTCAGTCCGAAAGCGGAATGGAAAACAAGGTCAACCAGGCATACCGTTCTTTCATGGACGCCCCAAAGGAGGACAAACTGACCTCCATGCCGTCTCTTCATGCCACCACTTACATCATTCATTGCCGAGACCAACCTAGATATTTTTACAATGGATTGGGACCGGGATATGTTGAATTTTACCACCTATCAGTGGAGGATAATTTTGGTTCCAATTCACCGCCAGATTTTGACCAGAAGAGGATATACGGGCATATCTATATCAACGCAAGCAACAGCATCGAGTTTGAACCATTTGATCCACCGGATGAATTCAGTGGGTCGGATTTCATAATATCACCTTTCCCGAGTGGCCCCCATGAAGTGCGAATCAAGTTTTTCAGCAAGGATTACATCAAAATGAGTATCCCTAGAGAGCTGGCATTTGAGAATAAAGATCCGCCTGCCGATGCTCCTGATGTCTTTGAGTACGTGGGTGTTCGGCGCGATTGGGAAAAGTGGAAGGCAGAAAGAAAAAGAATGTGGGAGGAAGCGGAGAAAAATCGGCCCCCTTCACCTCGCGACAGTTGGTTCGAGAGAACCCATCCGAGGGGGTTCTGGAATCAAGGACGGTGGTAATACCTTGATACTAGCCTTGGGACTACATGACAGGCAAGGAATCTCCGTACGGACTAGTATTCATAAGACTAATTGAAGTGATTGAGTTTTGTCTAAGTGCAGAGATTCGTTGAGAAACCCCCAGCAGACCACCAGAGCGTGTTGCGACGCCCTACTGCCGAGATACTCTCTGGCACTTTGCGGTTATTCCGCAGGGCCACGCGAGATCCAACCTTACTATATCCAATAACACAATGCTACATATCACGTTCGAAAAGCTGATGATCAACATCCACGAGAGCATAATCATTATGGCTCTGAGATTCCAGGAGTGCTCTAAAAGGTCAACCATCCAGCTTTGGGAAGAAGTAGAGATATACAGTCAACTTCCACATTCTCCACGCCCGGCGCGGTCACACATCCGCATTCTTCACCATAATTTGGTGGATGGACCCACTTTTATGCATTTTTCCATATAATCTGCCCATTTCCTGCACACTCAGGGTGTGCAGGTTATTTTTCGTTAATATTCACCCTCGCGTAGAGTAGAGCTACTTACTAAGGTGATTCGCTAGGTAGCTAACCAAGAGGTCGACGAGGAGGTTACTAATAACTAGGAGGTTACCGATGACTAGGGGGTTGCTTAGGAGATTGAGCAGGAGGGTGCATCTCGCCGCCGCCGACGAGGTATATCGAGCAGCTCGATAATCTCGCCTCTAAGGACTCGAAAGCGGTACCAATTAAATCCAGAAGATCATGAACGTATACAGGCGTCTGGGCTAACCCTGCGGTCCTAGTCGCGATCGCAGAATTGAGGGGTATCGATCGCACCCTTAAGGGGGAGGAGGATTAGTGAATAGGAGGAGTGGTTCGATATCAGACTGCTGTCATATTTGAATTTTGATTGAGAATGTGAAGGGCTGAAGCCGACTTGATTCAATCTAGCTAGGCCACGAACTGTTTACAACAATCTTAAGGAGAAAGGAAGGAAAAGGGAGCTGCCGTGTTTACGTATTGCTGAATTAGGGCGGAAGGCCACGGTCACGTGGTCATCCAACAGTCAGACTCCTGGAGACTGCGATATCTCACAGGGCAGCCACCGCAGTCTCCACTTCCACTTCCGCTTCCTCGTCGTAAACATTCCGCATATGCTTCACGAATGATAGTAGCTGCTGGCGCCGGTACTAAATATCTGTCAAATCGATACGAGCTTTGGCCTTCGCATCGTTCTGGCCGGTGATAAGGATGAGCATAAAGAAAGTTTCGATAATACTGGGAAACTCACTGGTGTTGCCACTCCCGGCATTCAAAGAGCAGGTGATGCACTGTAGGTATATTAGGGCTCATCCAAGAAGCACGGAGAGAGACGCTATACTTAGAAAGCATAGGTCATCCAGGATGTAGATATCAGGGTTGCAACGAGCTCCCAGGTCCCTTAGTTTCGTTATTTTGCTCTTTTGATCCAAATATAGCATCCCCGAGTTGTGTACAGTATACGCGTCAAACTACCTCCAGATCTCGATCCGTTACTAGCTTCGGGGTTGGATAATATGAATTCTGCAGGCATTAGTGGACTTTCCATCAGATAGCATTGGCGACGTACTAGCTGAGAGCCAAGAAAGGCCCAAAATCCCGAAGCATCCGCCGAAAAAATATACACTTGGCCCGTCTCACGGAGACGTATACCCAGACAGACATCTGCATCGCACGTCTTGCTGTATTCGCATGCCTTTGTCATCAGAGTTGATTTACGACGACACTGTTTCTGGCGCTTTGCTTTATTGGTCGGAACAAGTCGACTCGGTCGGGTGTGTGTTGCAGCAGCCATTTCTAAGCAGCCACTTCCACGAATAAAGAGATACCTCAAGCGTCCCTCTTAGACAAGGGAAGGAGAGGGGAAATAAAACAAGGGAGCTAACTAGCTAAGTAGTCTCAATTTTGCTGCGGATCAGCATTTTTTTATACTTGCACAAAGTCACGGTTTCGCTAACTATGCTCAAAGGCGAGAGTAGAACACTGTTACGTTGGAAAATCCTATCCTTTGGGATCAAAAACTGAATGTAGATAATTCGGTGAAGACTATGTTTAACCAACAGCTCTTCCCCAGATTTTGCAAGCTCCGTTTTACAACACCTGGATTATTGAAAATAAAGTGCGGTTTCACCGCCCGCCGTTCTCTTCCGTTGACCGCGTTGAAACCACAATTAAACGGGTCATTTAGGTCGCTTGGGTCTAGAGGTGCAATATAACCGAGGGCAAGAAAAAAAGACAGTAATTAATTAACGGTCAATTAACTGAGCATCAACCGTCGCAAAAGACCTACGTGCTAGGTCTCTCAAACTGGTACAAGCAACTCATAAATATGATGATGGTTGAACAAGCAAAGCCGCTGGCACCTCTTGACACGCCTAGAATATCAAGATCCTCAAGCACAACATTTTTCCACCGTTGTGTCCGCAGGGCGTCTTGTCATACCAAGTTGTGGGTAGTCTCGATAGTTACCCAGTTCGCCAGGCAATCGCGAGCAGCCACACCCAACAAGAGATAATAAAGAGACCTATACAGTACCGGGACATCCCATTAGTTCGTTATCACCGGAGTGCTTCGATCCCAAGTGCTCTTCTCAGCAGCATCCACCAGACACGCCGCCACACTAGCCCTCGAGATCCCACCCAAGCCCGCGAAAACACCGAGTCCTTTCCCATCGTCGCCAAAGAACTGAACGGGCGCTTTTTTCGCCATAGTAAGTCTCGCTGCCCTAAACAACACGAATTGTAATCCGCTCTTCTTGAGCGTCTCATCGACCTGATGATGGTCCTCGAATGTATGCCCTAAGCTGGTGCGGGAAATTGCGAATCTCATAAGCACAGTGATATTTGGAAACGAAGACCCAACTCCAAAGGAAGACAATGTCGCAATTTTGGAAACACGATGGCTTTTCATGGCAGCGATGAGGTTTTCGTGCGCGGTAGTCATGATTCGAGTCCCCTTTACTTTCGGGGATGCTAGCGTGACGATCACGGCAGTTGGGAGGTCGCCTTTGACTGCGTTGAAAGCCCTTTCAATGTTCGAAGGTTCTACTGGTGTGCCCTTCACAATGGTTAGGCCTTCCTTGCCTGGAAGTGTAGAGGGATTTCGAATCAAGGCTGTAACCTTGATGCCGCGCTGTAATGCTTCATCGATGACGAAACGGCCAGTCTCTCCATTGCCACCAATAACAAGGACACGCATATTGAAGATGCTGTTGCGCTGTGGTAGGGTGCTGACTTTGTTCCTAACCGCGGGGACGTGGTTTGGTTAAGACCGTAGTAAAATGCTTTAAGTGAATTTTTTAACTTTGTTAAGATCAATCGATGATGAACTGGATAGATGCTTTGGAACGACACATAACCGACGAGCTCCTAGGAGGTATATATAGCTGTGGCATAACTCTATCGAGGATTTTAGGGCTGAGTCGACGTAAGGACCGGCTACAATAAGGTCTTGGGCATGTTGTGAAGCCTAGTTAGTGCTTGCTCAGCTACCGCAAGGCAGTAAGCGACGCGTAGGCTGTTGACCTCATCAATATGCCTGTTTGCGGCCACCTCTGTAGTCAGAAGTCCGTGTGGTCGCTCGGGGCTCGCTAAAGGCAGAGTCCGTAGAATTACAAATCCTGTTGCTTACGAGGGGGGGCGATACCTGCTTTGTCCTTTGACCACCTTTGACCGATAGTTAAGGTAGATTGTCCGTCTTCCGCTTAGTCATTCAACCATTTCTGGATTTCAAGCCTGCCATATAACCTAACTACCACCAGACGGGATCCGGATTTGTCATACTCGTATTTTTTGATCGAGCTGAAGGATGATGGGTACTCGTGACTATTAGCTTACCTACACCGATCCGCGTTGTGGGTGAGCCATAACGTAACGGGATACCACACCATAATGAGATAAGTACCTTTAGCTAAGCTTGTGATTGTACGCACTATAGAGGAAGATCAGGCGTGCATCATACCACGGGCGTTTCGTCTATGTGTGATGCAAAAGCGCATTTTTCAAAGTAAAGCGAAAAGAATGGGTTTTGTCGCCAGTTGACACCCGGCCTAGCCAGCCAATGTGCCTGGGTTCGTGAGATCAAAAGACTTGTGTCCCATATGGACCGTCGTCAAAAGACCTGGAGCCCATGTGGCTACTCAGCCATAGCAGCCGCCAGTTGACAGATTGGAAGTGTTGAATATCACGGTGGCTGAACCTTATGAACGGTGGCTGCACCTTGGCAGGGATTGGGAACAGACATATATACTCGGCATCTGGCCCCTGTAATATAAGATATCAACTGAATATACAACAATTATCAATCTTACCATCACCCATCTCAACAGGAAGCCCTGCTTGACCTGGAGCAGTGGACGTACGTCCAAAGTGGGTCCGTGTCCACATCCTCAGGCCTTGGCCTCCAGTCAACTGTTCTGGGTCACGGGACCTAAAGCCAAAGCCCTATCGCTACAGCTTCTCCACCATGGCCCACATCTCCAGATAATCTCGGCGTTCCGTGATGACGAACTAGTGTCGGAAAAAGCGCCCCTGTATGTCCAGTGGTTCCCCTACTATGTCAATGCGCGTCTCAGACGAGTGAAACGGCCTACTCCCAGCCGTTCGTTTATACTCCAGTTGCAGCGCGTCGCCCAGGTTACTCTGCAAAATATCAAGATCAGGATGATCTTTAGGTGTTAACTGGACTGCCTGGCGAGCGAGGCGGATCGCTTCTTCGAGGCTATCTGTATCCCCTGTCTGTTTGTGCCGTAGTTGAAGCAGTTGCTGTAGGCCGTCGAGCCACCTTGGATATTCCGGATGGTTTTCTGATATGGCTTTGAGTGACTGGCGAGAGTCCTCGATCGCCTCATCGATGTCGTCTATCTTGTGTGTGCGTCTACACAACAGACCAAAGAGGTTTGCCACGTTGTTAAGCCTCCCCTCCAAATTAGGATGGTCTCTAGGCGTGAGTTGGACGGATTCACGAAAGATCCGGATGGCTTCTTTGAGTTCGACTATCTTCTTCGTTCGTTCATACAGCACGTGGTATGCGACCCCTAGATTGTTGAGCCTCAGTTGATGATCAGGGTGATCTTTAGGTGTAAGCCGGACCGCCTGGCGACAAATTTGGATCCCCTCTTCGAGGTCCTCCGTCTTCCTTGTGCGTTCACTACTCGCTAAAAGCATACCTCCTAGGTCGTTGAGCCTCGCTATAAAATCGGGGTGGTCTTTGGGTGTGAGCTGGACTGCCCGGCGTTGAATCTGGATTGATTCTTCAAGATCCTTTATCTCCCTTGTGCGTTGATACTGCATTCGAAGCCCCTCCGCTAGTTCGTGGAGCCGCCCTGCAAATTCAAGGTGGTCTTCAGGCGTGAGCTGGACTGCCTGGCGACGGCTCTGGATTGACTCATCAAGGTCATCCATCATGAGGGTTGATATTGCAGTTGAGGCCCCGTTCTCAGGTGGTAGACCTGCTTGGATGTCCCGAGTCTTGCAGGATTTAAATTTGCCCTCCAGAACAGAGCCCCAAGAACCGCTTAAAGGACCCGGGGGGGGGGGGGGGGGGGGGTTGGAATGAAGTGCAGGCACTGAGTTTTGGGGTGTGGGAGTGGGGCAAGATAAATGTGGGAGGGGCCAGGGTATTAGGAAAGACAGGTGTTATTTCCATTTGTTTCCGTCTCACTTTGGGGAGGCAGGTTCTAGGCCCCAATCCTACCTGTTTGGGATTAGTGCGACCTGTGCAAGAGAATGGTCTATCCTTGATCCCCCTCCCCCATTTTCTCTTTTCCCGACTTCCATTGACCAAAACAGGTATGGAAGAAGTCTTTCAATCTCTGCCCGCTGGGAAGATCCATGAACTGATGAACTGCTAGTGTTTTGTGGAATCGGTGACTGTAGCGATGAGCCCATCAAACAGCATGTCCTCGCCATTTCCAATTTTGGTGAGCTCTCGAGTCGCAGCATGGAAAAACTTGTATACCGACGCATAGAAGTCCATGATCAAAGGCTGCAGGCAGGACTTACAGATCCACCGCCAATACTTACACCCCGACATAGCCCGAACCTTGACGCAGCGGCGAATGAAAAGCGTGGGTCATACCGATTCTTGTCGACATCAGATAAACGAAGCAGGCCAGACTACACAGGGCTAGATGGGGCGCCTACGAAGAAGAAAAGGAGACGCAAAGATAAAACTAAGGGCGGCCATGGGGCGAATGATAATACGCAGAAGGAAAAAGAAGCTGTGGTAACTCAGGAAGGGGGCTCCTCTCCCGCAACCCTCGACGAGTGAGAAACTAGCGGAGATTGCCCCCTGCCTCCAGCTTCAGGCGCTCTCAAACCAGCCAGTCATCCCCATGAACACCCAAGGGATCGAAACGGTTCTGAACAGGGTGCCAGATAGTATCCTAGAGAATATACTCATCAATTGTGTGCGGTTGAGCGATCAGCTTGGAAGGTACGGGCAACGATCTGCACAGACAACTGTGACAACCAGGGTCAAGACTATTCAAAGCTTCGTTGATGAAATTATCCAGCTAGACTACTCCGATGCTATCCAAGCGATCAAGCAAGAAAACGCCTTTTCAGCCAGCAAGAACATCCAGACTCGGTACAACGAAACCGCGTATTGGGAGATCATAGAGAAAGGTGCAGACCTCCTCGATCCGAAGAGTCTGCCAACCCCTAAAGGGCCTCTCGATGAGTTCACAATTGCCGAGAAGGTTGCGACCGAGCGCTTCATGAGAGAAGCGGGTTATGGCCTCAGCCTTGCTAACCAGCGTCAGTGCCGCCTTTTCTGGAAGAGGCTTTGCCAGATGCGGAAAATGGGCGTTGACAAGATTCTCCTATATCGGACTAAGGAGTTTGATCGCTTTTGCAAGACCTATCCGTCAGAAGACGGGGCGTCCCTGGTACAAATGGTTCGACTCTGGGAAGATATGTACGGCTTGCAGATCAAACAGCTGGAAAGCCGGGTAATTCAAGAGAGTATGGGCGATCTCACGGGAAGACTGTGGCCCAGTGAGCCTAAGAGATTGAGGATTTCACATGTTGCATGGGACGGTTCGAGTAACCAGTGCCTCTCTGACGAGGAAGCTATCACTTTCCAATCGAGAGGTCCGCATCAGCCATCATCCGCACCGTTTGGTGGATTTCTTGACTTACATTATAGGACAGAGGGGATAAGAAATAAGTCTGTATTTATCACCATACTACTGTACCCAAAAAAAAAAATTCTTTTCTGTTTGCCCCATCATTTCAGTTCAGGAAGGAGATTTTCTTGGAGTTTTGGCTGCAGTTTTGTGTTGTTACCAAGTTCGTGTAACCGCTTGGTGCCGATGCGGGCTCAGCCACACCGAGTTCCCGAACCAGATGTCATACGTGGTCCTCGGGGTGCGAACGCAGACGACTTGTACATCGTGCGTAGCGGTGGTGCTCAATGACGGGGTTTGGATGTGTTGCGGTAGCGGTGTGGAGGTACCCGAAGGAATTTTCATCTTTGTCTTCATTGTCCAAGAGATCGAGGGAGCGTTGGATGCCAGTTCGAAAGCAGCTACGGTCTTTGTCAGATCACTGGTAGTTCACCGAGGGACCAACGTTAACAAAACATGCAACACCCGATTTGCTTTTCCTTCGCAGGTGCAAAACGTCTCTAAATTCCATATTGATTGGAAATTTGTACGGCACTACCTAGACAGGAAGCTCTGCTATAAATCCTGATTCACTCTAGTGGCATAATATATTTTCTTGGAATCCAGAGGAATGTGGATTGAATTATTCTTTTTGATAAGACAGAAGCGACTGTGTATAGAAGTGAAAGTCCAAATAACAGCTCCTGTTAGAAGATTTTTCCGTAATGATCAACTTGTAAGCTCCACGGATACCGGAGGCACTTACTCGGCGTTTTGCTCAATCAGACCACCGAGACATCCGTTCAAGAAAAGCTAAAAGCCGCCAATAAGATGTGGCTCATACCATCTGATAGGCTTTTGCTAACCATCTTATCCACTGGTGGCGTGTGAGAGCGGGCAAATTTGCCGGCTTTGTATCATCGAAGAGCCATAATCACAGGGCGGATGTCTATCGTCGCGGGAGCCCTGTCTATCATTGTCGGCATCTAAAAGTAGACCAGGGATAGCAGGTACGCTGTGAGGTGACACGTGAGCTTGGTGGATGTCATGAACGTCCACAGGGAGCAGAGTCTGGGTCGTCTGAATTAGGGTGTTGGGATCTAATTCAAATCAATGCCATGATCTTGTCGCAATCGCGTGGATAAACCTACCGATCTCTCCTTCCAAAAATTGCTCTTCCATCTGTCGCACGAAATAAATCTCATCCAGAACTTGCAGCCGAATTGCCGGCGTTATATAGCGGCGCAGGTCGAGACTGGCCCTCCGGAGCTTGTCCGCAGTGACTCCGTGGGTGTCTTTAAGATCACATAGTATATGAACCAGGAGTCGAATTCGGTCTTGAAGTCAATCAGCATTGGAGCCTAACCATCGATGTATTACGACTTACCGCTCTTCAGTAGGTGATCAGGTTCCCGATGTATCGTACCAGCAGGCCACCACCCAGGCTTAGTAAGCTCGGTGTCGATCTGTTGTATTATGCCGGAGACGACTTTGCGCCCGTTGTAAGGATAATTTACCTGCTTTCGCGGCTCGAGGAGTTTTATATATGATTTGGCGATGGCTCGGCAATTTAATTGCTGAAAGTTTTCAAATGCCTTTTCATAATACTGCCGCAGTAGGTCCCTGTTACTGACTCGGAGAATCGTCTGTCTCAGTGGTGCTGGAGGGTTTGGGGTAGGCTTAGGTCGAGGTCGCTTTAAGGCACGTCGCTTTTGCCGGCTCCGTTGAGACTGCAATTCGCAAGGTATCAATTCGACGGGTTTAGTATGGCTGTTGGCGCACGCCCAACCAGCGTTCGGCTCCATATTCCATGGGTAAGGGGAAGGGTGTTGTTGGTCTGCGAATATCGAGAATAGTTAGTTCGTACTAAAGGCAATCGTGCCAGGGCTGACCACCCACCGGGTTGAGAACTCGAGATCACCGCTTCCATAAAACGGCCCGCTACATCCGGCGTGAAGATGGCTCCGCCGCGCCCCGCAAGCAAGGGTGAGGTCTCAACCAGGAGATTGCCATCGTGATCAATATAAATCATCGCAAAATTTGGGTGCAAGATGTTTAGGATCTGCTCGAAAGATATCGATTAGCCAACATTCTACCAGTGAACAGACCCTGGACTCGTTCATACACAGGTTAGATCAGAGAAGATATCACATTGTATTGTCCTGGCAGACAGCCATCGTAGCACCCTAGTTCGAGTTCTTCACCGGCTATTTGTGGCCGAGTCAAATCCATTGTGTTGGTCAAGGGCGATATCACAGGTATACCGAGCCTCGGAGCCTCGATACCGAAACAGTTCAGATTCGAGCTGTAGAAACGCAGCAATCCGTTTAATAATGCAATAAGGGCAAGCGTAGGCGGTGCAGTTGAAGTCTCGCGTGGCTTGCCCCAGATATATCGTATTACTCAGGGAGTTCGGGCTAGGCGTAGCCGACGAATATTGAACACGGTGACCCGGCGAAGAAAAGTGGGAGTGTCAGAGTGCGTGTAATAGAAAATGCTGAACGCAAGGGGTGGCCCAAAAAAGAAAAGAGGGGCAGTAAGGTGCATGTATCGACCGTATGTATATTTCAAGTAATTGTAAGCCGCTTATCATGTGATAGCCTCAAAACAATACCTTTCACAATGTTCGGAAATAAGCTAGCTCATATATACATTAGCGTATTTCAAGATGGTGTTCGGGAAAGAATCTGTCACAGCAAGCTAATACAGTATGGCATGGTATGCGTATACGGGTCTATTCTACCAAGGGGAACCAATTACATGGAAGCAAAGTTGATTGATTCAAGAAAGGTCTAAAGAACGTGGTAAACAGAGGGCATTTTAAATACCCATCTGTCTATTCCGATAATCGGATGAAAGGAGCGGGGTTATGCCAAAGTACTCGGCAACCAATGAGAGGAGGCTGCATGTAACTCTCCATTTTCCTGACAGAACCAGTCCTACTGGTTCGGTGCCGGTTCCTGTTCCCCGGAACCTTAAGCATGTTATTGGGCAATGCTGCCTCGCCGCTCACGCAGTAGCTAGTCCAATACCCTGATGATTGCTTATCTGCCTTTGCGATATCCATGCTTAGGTTTTTCGCTCAACGTCGTCGACATCGTGACTGAGTTGGAGACCACTACCATCATAAGCCACGAACATCAGATCCTGCCCGTACTGTTACTGATCCTTTGCTCTACAGATTGAGACTTCTTTAAATCTTCCTCTTCTAACAGATGTGCACTCTGATACTGTTGATGTGATCGAGGTTCTAACTACTATACATTTCTTTGCGTCCCCAAACCATCATCAAGACTACAAACCGAATATCTTTATGTATGCTCGGAGCCCCTTCGTAATCTGATTAGAGCAAACCCTATTGGTTTCGGCAGCCGTTTCCTGTTCCCCGCAACTTTAAGCTTGCTATTGCCCATTTCTACTGTAGCTGGCCAGGCCGAATACGAATATGGGAAAGCCCGATGCTTAAGGAGGAAGGAAAGGAAATTCGGAGAGAAGCAATGAAAAGAGAGCACGGAGAAGTTGATGAGCAATAAGACAACGTAGCCAGTAGCCAGCAACAACATGTCTTGGCGACCAAAATCGACGAATCAGGCTGCGAGAATGTCGAAGGGTTTCAAGCAGCGAACGCACGAAAAACTTAGCGGGCAGCTCACGCAGGGTAGTAACTGGTGACGCGCGCTCCGCAAGCTCCGCACGCCGATGCCCTGAAACGACAAGAGAAATAAAAAAGGAACGAAGGTTGGTACCCGAAAGGTAACTTTATTGGATATAACCATAAAGGGGCATAAGAATCGAAGTTTATATGGTCTGAAACCTTATCAGTTGAATATATATATATAAGCTAGAATTCTTAGCAGAAAACTTTGGGATTGTTTGTTGAGGAAGTGAAGTGAGGCACGTCGAGCACAAGTTCCAGGTGTGCTCATGTTGGCCGCAGAGGTCAAGGTTACCGCGTAGCAGTCGCAGTCTGGCGTCCTGTTTCCCAACCTCGTGGATATCAGTGATGTGGAGGAGTCTTCCACAACAGGAACACACGGCTCGTTTGCCGGCTCTCTCAATATCTTCCTCGTATCGGGCCACGGCTGAACGTATATGCGCAGGAGACAAGTGCGGGGGGAATGCATTTGACGCTTCTACACGTCTGTCTAGGTCTTGTTGCAATAAGGTCAAGGCTTGTTCTGCGAGATAATGTATTCTATTTGGGTCTGGAGGAGCCAGCTTTTTCCGTTTAGGGTATAGCCTGCTTTGGTCGCACCCAGTCCGTTGCTGGTCGCACGAAGTTTCAATGATAAGTGGATTAGGAGCCTGTTGCACACGTGGGGCGGCAGGTGCCAACAGCGGGAGAGATGTCTTATGAAACAAATTAGGACGACGTCTTGTTGAAATTTTTGGAAGCGAGTTCTAAAAGTAATCAAACTGAGATGAAGGCAGCAGAATCGGCAGTGGGTTATCATTGGATTTGTTCATAGAGTGCATATTAGGAAAGGTGGGTTATAAGAGTGCGTTAAAAATGCCGGAACGTGCAGACAGTGTGCAAGGGGAGAAGACTTTACTACAGAAGGGTGTAAATACAGACGTACTTCTAAGACCTGTATAAAAGGAGAAAGAACTAGATTTACCTTTGTCAGATCGATAAGTATGTGGTTAGCAATTCTGGATGGGCTATGACACTCGCGCCACCCTAATGAATGCAACGGGGAGGCAACGAGGGCCGATCTCCGGGTCTGAATACCAACGGCTGGTCGGAGATCAGCAAAAGTCGCAAACTTTCTTTACTTCAGCCACCGCTACCCCTAGTAAGGAATAACGTGGGAATGGACATCCGTTTGAAGAGGAAGCTTCAGGGAAGTCTCCATCTGTAGCGCAAGACCCCAGTCCGGTTGAGACGTGTAGGCGCATAAATATTAAGTTCCACATATTTCGGTAGCAATGCACGAGTGATAAACTTTGCACGAATAAATGATTGTAATAGGCGTAGTGACGGTGGTGGACATAGTAGACGGCAGTCATGATGTCGACGATGTTGGGCCAATAACCTAAACATTGTAACATATCACGAGCAGACAAAGTGTCCAACAAGCATTCACGCGTTAAATGTGTTAAAGAGGTCACCCGTCAGAGAGGAAATTAGCTAGGTCGTAGCTAAACTTGTTTTTTAAGGGAAGTTTTTTGAGAGAAGGTAGCAAATGAGAATCCCTGTTGAACGAGAGATCATGGCATCGGATTAAGAGAGCGTAGCTGAGAATCGGCTAAGAAAGATTCTTTCATGTGGTAGTAGTCGAATATATCGGGCCTAGTGGTAGACCGAGGCGTTGTGGCTGCACAGGTCATAGCGCAGTTAAAGTTGCGGAAGACAACAACAGAAGCCGATAGGATTTTCTGGAATCGAGGCAGCCCAAAACACGAGCTCCAAGTCTAACAAAATAGCGGATTGGATCAGAACAGAGAACTACAAACTCGAGTCATTTCCGGTAAGAGCTGCGTCCAACGACACTGTAAGAATAGCCTCCAATGACATCGAACGAGATCTCTCCAATGACACGAAGCACAGCAAGCCAATCACCTCGATTTTGGACGCAATTCGCCACCAATTTGTATGGACTTTTGGCAGTCTGTTGAGTCGCGAAACATATAGGGATTTGTCACGTGCGGGACATTTTCCCTTCCTCTCACTTCGTTCGTTTCAAGACAGAGTCTACTGTATCCAGCGTTCATGGCCTCATGAGACGGAGATCTCACTATGTCGTTAACGAATGAGAAACCCTTTTACTGAAATAGCCCGAATATAAGGCGCTCTCGCGGCCGAGGAAAACAGAACTCTATTACCCACCAGACGGAAGATTCGCTGGCGAATACACAACATGACGAGCTGGCATTTACACAGCTTCCGCCGGGACAAGAAAGTTAACGTTATGGTCCATAACAGAACTTCAACATTACTACAAACGACGAAGGCCTCGACGAAAAGGAGGCTTCTAGAGGCGGAACTTGGCACGAAGGGGACTTCATCGCGTTCGCCTCGCGCAGGCCCTCGATTTGTAACCCATTACACTCCTTCCTCATTTCAGGGCATTATTTAACCCGCTTGGTGGGCAGAGGGGTGAGAAGGGTGAGCATAGAGAAAAGGCTAGGTTTCTTTACGGTGTGTCAACAACGCCGTTTGCCATCTTCGAACGTCGTTACCAAAATGGCGCCTCAGTTGCCTCCAATCAAGCATGAGATAATCAAGACATGATAAATAGCATGTCACAAATGACCGAGGCTGTTATATCGCGTAGCAAAACAGTCTGAAAGATTGATAATGGTTGATCATTCTAAAATTTTCTGGCCATTGAATCTACAACCAAGATCCCCCTAAAGAGCAATGCCGGGGAAGAAAAAATCGCCATATTATATAGTATTTTCTTTAACGATAAAGAGCAATTTGGTACACTAGTAAAGGAAACAAGCTCATTCTCAACCTGCCAGCAAAGTTCTAAGTATCTTTATAACGTGTAATGCCATTTGCGCCATAAATCGTTCTATACACCGAGGCTTCTGGCGCTATCTACAGTTTGAGTTTTTAGGACGAAGTCTGAGAGAAATCGTAAGACATAATCTTTCTCTCAGGAGAAGTTCTCCGTGTATGTTCTCCGTGTATGTTCTCATGGTGTACGCCACCAATAACCGGCATTTACCTGCGAAAGTAACAAGCCAGCTGAAGTTGAAAAATTTCATGTAGTTACAACCAGGATCAAATTTTTTTTCTAGACATTATATTAAATTCAACTGGCAGATATACTATGTACAGGGCGCAACCCAGAAACTACGCTTAATTTTCATGATAACGGCATGTTCCTGCGAAATATACACTTCGCTTTCCCTAAAGAAACCAATGTCTCGCAGGGACGAGATGAACCTGTAGTATAATTTAGTATTGGCTTGACACAATCCTGGGCTTGAAAAATCAAAAATTGGCAGGAGCATCCATTCATCTGGAGAGAAACGCACCTTTCATTATCCGCCCTAACCTCCACCAAGATGGAGTAGGTTCTCTGATCGCACAACCAGCAATAATGAACAACTGAGCTCAGGAAGAGTGCCAGATTATCCAAGCCATTGAAGTTGTCGTCTCCAATGAAGAACCGGAAGCCCCTATCCCAGTCCTCCACCTTGCCCCGCAGCCTACCATGACGATCTTCAAGGACCCAGAAAATCTCGAGAAAGCCAACAGGTGTCGAGCCCCAGTATGCTAGTACAGGAAAAGATGATTTGCTTAACATGCTTGTCTTGAGATTTTCCCTTTGGACTTCTAAAGAACTGCTCTGGATAAAGCTTGTGTTAGTTGGAGACTGGTTCATCCATCCGTGGAGCAACTTCAAATCATTCATGATTCCAGGGTCAAGGCATAGGTTCGGACCACTCCATTCACTTGGCTGTGTCGTTGTGGAATATGACCTTATTGAGCTTTCCTTTGGGATTAAAGGTATACGGAACGTCATGTTCTGACCACTGCTAGGAATAAACCTCGTGTAAAACACTTCTCCTTGCCGTGGAGCTCTTGGGCGAATTAGATGTCGAATACTACCGGTAAATTTATATTAAAGTGGGATTGGAGGGTAATATAAGGGTATAAAGGTTCCAGAAGTGTTGGGCCCAGCGCCAAAGGGGAACCCTCTTCCAAAAGCATCCAATGATAGACGAGAAGCCCATACCTCATTATCACTGACTAGAAAGCGGGGCGGATCCAGAGTAAACAGATAGATCCCGGGATCCAACTGCCAGAAGGCTCGTTGACTAATGAACATCTCCAAACAGGTCTCTAGGCTCTCTTGCGAACCCACTAAGGGGTCAGCAGTCGCAATTAGTCCCATCCTCTCAAGTCTCTGCATTCGATGTTTCCCACTCAGAATGCCGTCTCCTTTCACTCTTAGACTCCACTCTGCTCCTGTATCTGTGACGAATCCTGGCAGTTCACTTCGATTCAATGTGGGAAAATGCCAGTCTGGTGCAGGTTCTTGGAAATACCAGAGAAAGGTGGCAAATAAGATCATGGCCACTTGTCTGGTAACAGCGCTTTCAGGTTTCGCGTCATTAATTGACGGCGTCGACATTGAAGAAAGATGTAGCACGTCGCTGCGAAGAGTCGGTCTTGTAAAGGAGACAGAATCGATTAGGGACTGGCCATCCCCATCAATGGACGGCTTTGCATTACTTGAGTTCTCGGTATAAAGAGATATCGACCACCCAGGTGGAAAAGAGCCGCATAAGCTGTTTTCATCGACTATAAATGTAAACCCCCTAAAGGATGGTTTGACATTGATCTGCTGCCCGTTCGGCAAGAAGTACTTATTGTACTTCATTAGAATATAGGATATGAAATGTTGAGATGATTTAGATCTCGAGAGGTGCACAAGGCTGTGTTCGTGAGTCGCGTTAAAGTGGCAATGGTGATGAAGAGTCTATACGTCAGACGACAAGTTAACATGGGGTATTGTGCCGGGGTTAGTCAGCATTGCCGACGGTCTCCCGATCGCCCAGCCGACTGCAGCGTGCTGTGCACCAACCCACACCAGCTTAAGCCTCCACTGCACTTTAATTTTCTCCGCCCAGGACGCAGAATGACCATCCCTGCTAGACGAGCGCTAGCACGCGATATAATCCTCAGTACGTTGCTAACTACACGCACACTGATTGGTCGCCTCTGGCAGTGTGCAGTGCGTGGTTCTTGTTGGAGCACTAGTCCGTACTGGGTCATGTGCTCTGGGTCGACCATGCTTGGTCAGCATATTAGTAGATTAGATCTGCAGTCGTGGTGGTCAAGCACGAGTACAACTCCCACGAGCTCGGCGCTCTCTGACACTGCCTCCCCAGACCCCCCAAACCTACTGGCAGTCGCAGTCACTATTCTTCAACAAATTGGTCCCAGATCTGCGTCACATTATCTATCGTGACATCCTCGTGGCGCCCAGTCCTATCCATGTTCGACGAACACATCGGAGACTTTGCAGCATGCGCTGTAGAGATCGGGATGGACGGGGCTTCCATGATCACTGTAAACAACATTTAGCTGAGGACGGGGCTGTAGTAAGGCGTTTACCTAGTGAAAGTATCCGCAACGATCAGATACTCCCATTGCTGAGCAGCTGTCGAAGGATGTAAGCAATAGTACTCTTAGCTGCCTTTTTTGTTCCTATGGATCTCACCGGTGATGTAGATATTCAGAGGCCGTTCACTAGCGGGGAACTCTGCAACATGCTAATTGTGAAGTAAGAAAAGCCAAAAATCCAGAAGCATCTGCTAACAAAATTTGTACCTAACCCGTCTCCCGGATACGAATGCCCGTTGTCACGTCGTAGACAAGGGACAACAAGGCACCAGCTCGAGTACAAGGAGCAACCAGCTTGTGGCGGCCCCAAAGATATGAATACAGAACTCCATGGGATAACGGCTAGGATTCTTTGCACTGATCCTAGAGCCGACGCGGCTCCCAGGAACTTCCTGTACCGCTGGGTCGAGTATTGTACTACAATGGTTGGTTAAGTTGGTTGATATCATTTACCCTGACCCCTCGCAGTAAAAAGCGATATACAGGATATGACAACTATCTATATCTGCGTAGGTACATATAGAGTGTTCCACTTCCTGAAAACGAACTTAGAGCCTCGTCGAGGCCTGCCGTGGCCTAGTTACCGTTCGCTCTGCTAGGCTGCTCTCGTGGCGCGCGACTCCGAAACCGTTGTGACGCCTCAGCGAAGTCTAGCACGGCCTTGGCCCTTCTAGTCCGCGAGACGGTGTCTGGTTTACCTTTCTTACCTTCGGTTAAGCCTCCCACCTTTACCCGGTAGCCTGAAGACCACGGCAGCGGAGCTGGACAGTCCCAGGTGTAGCCTACAGCAGCAGCTCCGGAAAAAATACACGTAGGCGAATCACAGAGTCTGTGAGCCTTATATTGCATCACATGCTTGATGCAAGCTGATCTGAATCGGGTTAGACTCAATCGAGATGCAGAGCATCCAGAAATTCTATGAGAAGGAAAGAAGGGGGAGGGCGGGGTCGGATAAAGGGGCGGTGAATTTACGTCATCGTAGCGGTGAAGAGATCGGCTAAGGAGCTGAAAGAGAAACACTTCCAATTCACAAGCGAATCACCTCATGTTAAATAACCTGAGACCTAGAGTACCTCCACGTCTTCCTTTCTTAACCAGTTGATAAGCCTTCGTCCTGAAAAACAGACCTTCTTTACTCGGTGAGTAATATGGTCGGAAATTTTGCTGGGGGAATGCGACTTGAATATGGAGGAACCCCAGAACATTTTCAACGTGTATTAAGTTCTCTGGTCGTGAGAAGGAAATGTCTGACAGAGCTCTTGACAGTTACTTTGAGCGTCGAGTAAGTATAACTTGGGCGCTCTACTATATGAGAACATGGTTGACACAGACGGTGTTAATAGAAGGAGGAGGCGCGACGACAGCAGGAGGAGGAGAAGCAAAAGCGAGAGGAGGAAAAGCAGCGAGAAAGGGAGAAATCAGACGAATAAGTGACTATCACTGACTTGGACGCTCAACTGCGTTAGAATAGGGATCAATATACGGGATGGATAGTAGTTAGAGGTAAGTAATTTAGCCACTGACTGAGACGCTCAACTATATAAGCACCGTTGACAGGGACGGAATCAATAGAAGGACGAGGAGTATATGGCGGAGAGGGCGGAGTGGGAGAAGAATTTAGATGCGAAGCTCTGGGCGCAATTTCCCGAACTTTTCGAGGACAACGGGGACGACGAGGACGACGACGAGGAAGTTGACTCCACAAAGTGAATCCCGAAAATGCCCGCTGTCGTATCTATATTATTTAAATGGTATAAGGGGGTTGAAGATTGCGAGGTCTATCTCGATAAAATATGCCTTAATATAGGTTTTCCCTGACGCGTTAGGTTTCCCTATATATATGCGAATGCAAAGGTTACAATTCTAGAGTATCTAGCTGCTCTCTGATCGATATAGTATTTTTGGTTAGCGAAAAAAAGGCCAGTAGCGGTAGCCTGGTAGTAAGCGGCCGGTTGTAGTTCATTAAGCAGCGCCAGGGCCGGATGCAACTTTCACTTCATGCTGACAAAGGTAGAAGTGAGTTGACTCCAAAGACAGAAGGTGTCCACAAGGGATGGCTCTGATTAGTGGTCTCTACGAGGGGTGAGCTGCCGCCCCGAAATGGTGGAGGCAACAGCTGGCCAAAGCCGCTTAGTGCCATACGATTAAATGTAACAGGAGCCGGGTACTGGCCCATAGAATCCACGCTTTTAGATGTACAAGAAATACAAAAGAGACAGAACTTCAGAAGCCATACACGTGATGTGATTTAGCGTGCCTACTTTGGTTTAGTGCATCCCTGCGAGTTATCGTCGCCTGCTCCGTACAAGTTTCAATGGAATCCGTCCTTCATCGCCGCTTCAACTTCTCATTATTTCTTCGCTCTCCTGCTCCTCCTGTCTCAACACCCTTCCCCCATGTGCACTTTGCTAATGAGACATTTTGCTACTGATCTAGTTCACCGACCCTTTGCGGTCCCTGAATCGAGAATGACTGTAAAATCGAGGAGTGAGCGAGATGCTTATATGTAAAAGAGGTCCCAGTCAGGCATTATTATTGTCATTGACTATTCCCTATACAGTATCGTGCTGGTCTGATGGTGGTCTCATCTGGCCGCATCAAATTTTGACTTTTGTAAAGGCTCCTGTGACAGGTGTACGACAAATCACGTTGGATATTCTTTTCTAACCTCAGAATGCAGAATTTAGGTCCGGCTTATTTCTGCTCACCTCAAATATGGGCAGCTCTTGCTACGGCGCATTTATTGATCATGATTTTGATAATGTAAGTAATCTCTGGTGGTGATATTGTCAACTTCTTCTTGCTGAACGGTTTAATGGTCTAGAAACTTGTATTTTGGAACCCGTGAATCATCGAGATTTCAGGTAGACCCAAGTTCAGAATTCCATCTTGTCGTGTTCTCTTCTACATGAGCATTTCATTCTCACTAAGTTGAGATAATCCTCCAACATACATACATTTTACTATCGTCCATTAGATCCTTAGATGCTGAGAAGATAAGCAACTCAATTCATGCATTTCTAGGAACCTATCAAGAGTAGAGTAGAGAGAGGAATGAGCGGAGCTAGATGCTCAATGACCTTGAAATAAAACCCCTCACATGCCAATATGTATGTCTTACATACTTGCAGTGTCAATCACTCTGGGTATTGACCGACTAGCCGGAGCCAAAAAGGACGTCGTTTCTTCAAGGCACGGCTTGTTTTCTGAGCGTGGGAGTAGGAGTACCTATTGTAGGCACACGATGCATACCTGCTAGATATGGCTACTTGGACAGTATAAACTTATATTAATTCACTAGTCACTTAGCATAGCACACGCTGCATAGCTGCCAAATAGTTGGATTATAAACCATAGCCCGCTAGGCTAGGTACGGATTCGTATTTTGGCCTAGTTGGGTAAACCAACTGGTTATGAGCCCGAATTAGCGTAACCTTTGTGCACGTTGGTTCAATTCCCACAGTCAGCATGTTCGAGCAACCAGAGCCACCAGAATAAGGCCTGTGATTGGCCGCACAGCCAGGCAACAGAGCTCCATGCCCCGCCCCCAAGCCAAGCGTTTATGGTTTACGGGGGAGAGTTGGATTATAAACCATAGCCCGCTAGGCTAGGTACGGATTCGTATTTTGGCCTAGTTGGGTAAACCAACTCAAATAGGCAGCTGGAGCAGTTCATGAATCAATCAATCAATCAATCAACCTCCAGTTTGGTCCTAGGAGCATCTAGGTCAAGGACCTACTGTACTGCTCCTGGGACGTCGAATCAGTATAGTGGACAGTACGGTTGCACCCTAATGCGAAAGGTTCTTATCCAAAATCCTGACCTAATACAATAAATACCACATTCCACTGACCAAAGGCATTTTTTTCAGGCTTTGCGCGCCGGGGACAGTATATAACACATGTACCGTGCCCCACAGGCATCGTTGGTTCACGTTTTCCAGTATTTGTTCTTACTCTCTCATTCTCTTTGCGGACCACAAAGCATTGGCATTAAAGATCGAGACGGGGGAAACAATCCTGTGGTTACATGATGTCTACTTACTCTACGGAGTCGCCGTTTATTTGCGTCTTCTGGTTCTCTTTTGCGCCATTACCTGGCTATCCATAGCCAGCTTTAGCTCAGCAACGGCACACTTTTCGATAATTCTACGGGATTACGCGAGATCCGACTACATAATCTAAGGATCCCTTGCTACCCAGATCTTTCGAAAATACAATGACCAAAGTCTTCGACCGTATGGTCATTGCGGCCATCCCGTCGGCTTTGCTTTCTAATTTTGGGATTATCCTCATGGCCTATCCGCGACTCCTACGAGATGGAAACGCCACCTAAATTTACTTTGCTTGTACTCAATTCCAATTGAGCTTAGTAGTGCTCTTCATAGGGGGTTATGTCGCGAATGCCATTGGTGGCTACTAGACCTTGTTCGAAGTGTTTGACGTTCGTGCAAGCCACCTCCCATACTACGGCATGATGTACTACGGAAGTATTGGTAAGGCTGTCTTCAGATCCCTGGTGGTTATTCTGTCTCTAGTTTATTTTGTGATATAGCAACCCCTCCTTGGTCGTCCAATTGTCTTCATGTGAGAGCGAGTTTCTAGGTGCGGAGAATCCAAATATGTAAGAAGCGATTGCATGACCCACCAAGAAGCTTTTAGGGATAGACTAATCTACCAGATAAGATATGCTTTATCACACTTTATTGTCGCCGTTGATATGTCCTAACCTGAAATGAAGTGATGAAAAATTCCAGGGATGTTTGTTCTTCTAGTCCATGTACTTCCTCTCATGGTCCAATAGCCATGTCAGCCCAACACAATATTAGCAAACTTACTGTCCTGTGATTGGTGCTTCATGGAAATCACTGCAATCTGTTCATGATGCTTTGTAAACTGTGCTGCGCACAGGTGACGCAGGGCAGAGAAGCCAAGAAACCCCTTAGCTGGTCGCCATGCCTGAAGGCATTGAGCAATTTCCTTTTCCTCGAGCGCTCGTGTGCCTGCAGGTCTGGAGGCTCGGTTCAGTCACTGGTGTAAGTGCGGTGCTAAATTAACCCTCGGCAGATGTTTATGCAAGCGTGTTGACTCAGTATTGAGCGGGCAACATGAAAGCAGTGGTCGAATGCCGTCACCGTTGCTTAACGCATCGCCGAAAATTGCTGAGTCCCACCGTTAACGTTAAGGATCAACTTTGCAGCACCAACAATATAACAGCATTCGCTTCTTAATTTTGACAGGCAAGACTCAAGGAAGTGAGCCACTTGCTCCTCATCATGAGACTATTATCGTATGATAGGAATATGACCGTTGCTCAATATTTGTAAGTTTAGTGGTTCAATATGAAAGCCAGAATATAAATACTACCGCCCTTCTCCAGTCAATTCCCTTCCAAAACTCATATTTGGTCACCTACGGGATATTCAAGAATGACAAACCAATCACGACACCGACGCGAGCGAGGAGGATAGCCTCATGGCTCAGGCGAACGAGCAGCTTGAACGCGAGCTGCTCCAATGTCAGAAACCCCCATTCCTTACATACCGAGCGCCCTGACGCGCGGTGCTTCTCGGCATCTCCCCCAGCTACGTCAAAGACTGGATGCCAGCAGATGCTTTTCGGGAATTGTATCAAAATTGGTGCGTACCGACCTCCTTTCGCTGGACAAACGCTAATCAAGCAGGAAGGACGCCATCTTAGAAAGATTCAATCTTGACCGTCATGGCCGGGGCTACATTTTGGATCTCGGTGGGGAGGCTATTTACCCGAGTTTTTATCTTAGCGTGCTCTCTGTTCATCAGAAACGATCGCTGATACCTCTTTCTAATCATAAGACAGATGCCAACATGGCACTCGCCACGACCGAGCCGCCCCTTTCCATCGTCCTCAACACCAAAGATGCACGACAGGCCGGGCCACTGACTCTAGTGTGTTTCTGCTTCGCTCATTCAAGACACATACTTAAAACGTCCATCTCGCTCGCATTGACGGAATAAATCTAGGAAGGCCCAGTACTCTTCGATTAGCCATATAGTAGAGTTCCAAAATGTTTTGTTCTCTTCTAGCTTCATCCTGTTCGACCAAAGGTTAACTGTCACTGCATTAGAAACCTTGCGTATTCCGACAGACACGATCTGGTCCTATGCTAGACCGACTGAGCTATCGCAGCATCCGGCGACAACAAAGAGAAGCTGAGCATCGAAGACCACCGACAAAGACCACGGTTTTTATAAAAGCAGAATCAGCCAGTGATGCATCAAATTACAGACCACAATCTGAGGGCCGGCGCTGTCAAGCCCTGATTGTAGCCGAGCAAGCAACAAGCCAGGCTGCAGTACTGGATCTACTGGGTCTCTCGCCGCAAGAGCAGTCGTTTCAGGTCAGTTCCTAGTTTGCCCTAGACTAAATACCATGAATCATTCCTCCAGTGGTACTTTGTCCTGACACGGTTGAATATTTGCCGGGCACACGAACAGCAAATACGAAATAGCTCTGCATTGGACGATATTGCCCACATCCATTCCCCGCGGTACGGAGTGATCCCGCGCCATCATGCACGTGTGATCGAGCTGACGCCTGCTACCTCGTCTCTGGTTTGCCTATGCTGATGCCAGGCTACATGGCGGCAAGTCTGTACCACTTTCAGTTACGAGAAACCACACTGACATGGGGACGCAGTGAAACACAGCTCTGGTTCGACCGTTCTGACGAGTCCGATCGGGATGGTCTATTGTGGCTGGTGTTGGGGGGGGGCACATCTAGGCCGCGAGCACGGTGAGTGGCGAACACGCATTTTGCGCCAGCTGCTGACAATTGGTGCTAGATCAAGTATATCCAACGGCATACTGCTTTGGCC